TAGCCTCCGGCATCTCCTCCCAGGACAACGAGAAGTCCCCCAGCCACCTTGTGCAGTCTCCCATGGACACCCTCCTCAAGAACTCAGTCAGCTGCCTGTCATTCTCCCAGGTCGTCTTCATCCAGCTGGCCCCAGGATGAACCTCTGTCCACTTTCTGGTGTCCGGGGCAAAGAGGAGGCCGATCTGTCCATCGAAGCTGAACTGCCAGGACCCGTGCGTGCCGCCGCTGGCTCCACGCCGACAGCACATCCTGCCCTGCAGGCTCGGGGGATCTGCCCCCATTGGAAAGACATCGGCAGAGATCAGCCGTGACAGATCCTCTGCCCCACCTGGGATCCACTTCTCCCTTTCCATCCCTCTGGTCTCTCCTGGCCCTGCTCTGTCCTCTGCATCCTGCACTTCCTCCTGGGGCACTTGGGTGGGGCCAACTTGCAACTCCACAGAAACCTAAGAAAGGCCCCGTGCCCAGATCAGTCTTGACAGCTCCTTCACCCCACCTGGATGCTCCACTCCGTCCCCTTTGCATCGCCTGGCCCTGATGTCCCTCCACTCCCGCCCTGCCGCTGGGCCTCCAAAGGAAGGGCAGTGTCCAGTTCTGCACGTGGCAATCCTGAGTCCTGGTTCACAAACCTGCCCTCTGCCCAGGGTCTTGCAGGCTCACCCTTGCTTGTGGAATGCTGCATTTCGGCCACTTGCTGGTTGAGGGCGTCCACCACGTCTCGCAGCACTTCTGTCTGCTCTGCCCAGTTCTCAATGGCATCCACGTCCCTCCCAAGGGGGTCAAAAAAGCTGATCTGAGTGAAGCTGCAGTCACAGTGCAGAATCCTCCTGTCATCCACGTGACCTTGAACGTCACACCGTTGCTGTCCAGGTCCGGCCTTGGGATTGACAGTTATGTTGTAGCAGAGGGAGTGACCGTCTGTGGAAGGGAAACACAAGTGAGGCGTGGGGATGAGAGAAGGACTCACACTCCACCTCTCCCCCAGCTCCGAGACTAAGGAGCCCAGCTGAAGGGCGGGGCTGGGACGCAGGAAGTCACTTCCCGCCTTGGCAGCTCCACACTGGCTCCTGACTTCCTGCCTCCTGTGCTCCATGTAATTCATTCAGGTTCTCTGACCAAGTACACGGGGTCCTCGGCATGGCCCCCGAGACTCACAGGGAGCCGGTGACAGGAGCATGTGGAAGCACACACAGTACCTAAGCGCACACGCATCTAATAGAAACTCCGACACCACGTGATAAGAAACTGCAACCACGTGGACATTCCAGAAAGCTGGCGCAGACGATGCTGGCCCAGGCAGCAGCAGGGGAAGCCTGGTGTGTGTGGTCCCTGGGCACTCACTGTCTTCTGGGTGCTTCTGGCAGAACTGACTCCAAGAGGCAAGACGAAGACAGAGACAGGTGTGCATAGGAGGGCGGGACTGAGAAACAAGGTTTCCAGAGTGTGGCAGGCAGTGGGCGATCAGGGCAGATCAGTCAGCTGGGAGGTCCTACAGGGACGAGTGTGAACAGACAGATGGACATACAGGCGTGCACCTGTCACCTGAGTGCACACACACATGCTCCTATGTGGAACAACCAGGGCTGATGCCACACACCAGGAAGAAGCTGGCAGAACCAGTGAGCAAAATGGCTGGACGATGACAGCCTCCCCTACCTGCACCTGAGGCCAGATCACCTGTCCAGCTGAGGACTGAAAACAGCAGCGCTGAGCGGGGCCCAGTGAGAGGAGAGGAAACTCTTTCTCGGGAAAGGTCAAGGCAGTCACGGGTGTACAGTGAGAGACAGCAACAGGGCTTATGGCAGGACTCTGGTTGTAGAAAAGCCTGGGTAACTCGGGGAATGAGCACACGAGGGCGCCAGCATCCACCACCAGGAACCTCAGATCTCCGCGCGCATCCCATGGACGCCGGTCCTGGGTAAAATGCAGAACTCGAGCCCAGAACTTCCATTTCCTGAGCTGGATGACACGTGCCCCTCGCCTGTGAGGAACTCCTGGTGGGCTGCAGGAACAGGGAGCCTGTCCCCAGACCCCAGCGCGAGGCAGCACCACGCACCCCGAGGTGAGCTCACTCCTGCGGCTGCAGGGAGTCTCCCCACGTGGACCCAGGACCCCGCGGGACAGCACAGCAGTAGCAGTAACGCTGCAGCCACAGGACCCCACCGCTCTCCCTGCGGCCACCAGAAGCCGCCGCAGGACAGAATCTGCTGCTGACTCTCACCCAGGCACCCGAGACTCCGCTGGAGCAGGACACCCTGTGGGCTGGGGCTCCAGCAGCCGGGGCACTGTCGATGCCACAAACCTGGGGTGGGCAAACGCGACAGTGCTCAGATCTGGGCCCTAGCTCCTTTGCAAGTTGTCACTGGCTGGTGGTGTCACTGCCACAACCAAGAAAAAGTTGAGCAGCTAGGGAAACACAAATGACTCAGAGCCAGTACAGTCGCTCTTTACACAAAAGTTGGCCAGCTCCTGTGCAAAATAGGTTCATGTTCTATAGTGCTGCCTCCCAGCCTCCAGGGGAAGTGCAGGAGAAGGTGCCTGAACACTGGTTGGGGGTGGGGGGATGGTGTCCCCACCGCTTCGACTTAGGGTCCTGGGCTGGGGGTGTGCTTGCCTGGGGCGGCCTCAGGCAGGGGAGAGGCGCCATCGCCATCGCCATCGGGTAGGGGAGAAGTCAGGACCCGCCCGATGAGAAAGGCACGGATTGGACTGGAAGCCCGGCGTTCGTGGTCCCGTGCTGAGACTGGCTCAGAGGCTCACAGGGACTCAGCGACTCAAGAGGGCAGTGTCCGGATGAGGCTGTGAGTGGTGTGGCAGCAAGTGGACGCTGGTGGGTTGGAGGGGGAGTGTGTGGTTGCAGGCGGGGTCGGGGGGTGGCCGCGGTCGCCTCCATGCAGGGTCCGCACTCATCCGCGTGCCCCTGGCTCAGCGCCCACTGTCCCCAGGATGGGGCTGGGGCTCCAGCAGTTTCCACCGCCCCCTCCCATCGTCCTCCTGTGACTTCTAGAAGCCTGCGCAGGGAAGCGCAGGCCCGCGAGGAGGTCCCCACCCTCTCTCCCAGGCCCTGCGCCCCTGCCCTGAAAGCACTCACCGGCCAGCAGTGCCCCGAGCCCGGCTGCCCGCAGACGCAGGAGCAGAAGCAGCAGAGAAGAGAAGCGGTGCCCGGCCAGCAGCTCCATTCTGGAGTGGGTGAGTCAGTTCTGAGCCCTCTGCGTGTTTAAGGACAGGAAACGTGGTCGCGGGAGCACAGGTGATGGGACGTGGGCAGTCGTGAGCAGCTCTGAGGCGGAATTCCTGTTTGTGTCCAGCAAGTTTCAGGCGGGCTTTGCGGTTGGGACCAAGGCTGAGTCTGCAGGGGGATGACCCCGTCTTCCTCAAGGTTTATTCCTAGCGCTATTTTTGGAAAGATTTTCTCCCCACTGAAGTTTGCTGCTTTAGTTAAATGTGTGTTTCTCTTTTTCTGGTTTTTTAGCTTGCGTTTTTTAAGCAGTTTTTTCTTTTTTCAGTTTTCAGAGGGGCAGCTTGTGAGAAGCTCACCCCCGCCCCCAAATCCTTTAGAGGGTGAACTTGACCTGCCCTGTCCACCCTGAGCGCTGGTGCTAAAAGGGCCCTGGTGTTAAAAGGGAGCAGCGGGTGGGGTTTTCCCTTGGGACGCTTCTGTCCCATCCAAGGGCCAGTCAGCGTCCAGCACCTGCAAGCTCCGAACACTGCACGTGGCAGTACTCTCCCTCCCTCCCTGTGTGTGTGTGTGTGTGTGTCTTTCTCTGCCTACAGAAGGAAAGGCAGCTTTATTAGCCTAGTGAGCCGCGACACCGGCCGTAAATAAATCTTTTTAAAAAATAAATGAATGAATAAAGTTAGGGGCTGGCATTGTGGCACAGCGGGTTGAGACACCACATGTGATGCCAGCATCCCATTAGGAGTAATGGTTGGAGTCCCAGTTGCTCTGCTTCTGATGCAGCTCCCTGCTATGGCCTGGAAGTCAGTGGAAGATGGCCCAAGTGCTTGGGCCCCTGCACCCACGTGGGAGACCTGATGAAGTTCCATGCTCCTGCTGCCTGGGCCGGCCCTGAGTTGTGGGTGCACAGTACCAAAGGCACACAAATGTGTCCTGGGACCTCATGGGGTACACAAGGACAGAACCGAAACTGCACCGTGGGCAGCAGTGGACACGAGCTCAGGAAATATTGTTTGGTTAATGTCAAGATATTAGAACCTTAGAACTGAGTATGTAACTACACGACACACTGTAATTCCGTGACTCACAATAACAAGGAGCCACTTGCTGTCACCGGCTCTTCTGGCTAAAGCCCTGGAATCCGGATTTCCTGTTTGCCAACGAGATCAGTTGGTGGCTCCTAGAAGGCTTCAAAGGATAGGGCCGGTCCCAGAAAGACCAAGACAGGACCTGTGAGCTCCAGCCCCAAGTCCAGGGAGGAGGAGCCCAAGGCTGAGATAATCCCCAGTGGTCAATGATGCAGTCAATCATGCATAGGAACAGGGCCTCTGTAAAAACTGAAACGGGAGAGGCTGAGATGGGATTCTGGATAGCAGCACCTGGAGCCTGATGCAGGGTGGTGCACGGCCGGGCACGGAAGCTGCGCGCCCCTTCCACACACCTGCCGTGGGCACCCCGCCATGTGACGGTTCATCTGCATCCTTTTAACATCCTTTACAATAATGGGTAAACTAAGTGTCGCCCTAAAAATTCAATGACACCCAAGGTGGGGGTCGTGGAAACACCGGGTTAGAGCCGGTGTCTGAGTACAAGCCATCACAGGGGCTGCCCCGGGCACCTGACTCGGAGGCAGTTTTGTAGGACTAAGCCCTCAATCCACGGGACCCAACTCCCACTCCAGGTGGATAATGTCAGAGCTGAGTTGCAGGACCACCAGCCAGCGGCCACTGGAGAAGGCTGTGTCACAGCGCAGGGCTGGTTTTATGCTACCACGATGTTACCACAGAGACAGCGAGACACAGTTCACAGGCCTTCCAGATTTTCAGAGTGAAAGTTCAACAATGTATTTATCATTTCTTTCCCACAGAAAAGCAGTAAAAATGATAGTGCATTATGGGATTATTAATTTTTGATACACGTGCATAATGCGGACTTTTGATGGCTGACAAATTCTTTTATTAACAGTCAAAAAAACTTCACACGATAGGAAAATAAATGTTTCTTTAATGAATAAATGAAAACTATCCAGGACCTTATACTATTTTCAGGATATTCTAGGTTTGATATAGACCTCAGAAGACAGGATATTAGCCTGCTGGCATCACTAGGAAATGAGAAACTAACAAAACACTTACCTAACAACGAGGAAATAAAATTTATATTTATAACCTAAGTTTTATATATGACTCACAATGCACATTAATCTTAAATTTATGTTTCTTAAATATTTATTTACTATTTATTTAAAAGGCAGAGTGACAGAGAGAAGGGGGGAGAGAGAGAGAGACAGAGAGAAAGACAGAGAGAGAGGGATCTTCTATCTGCTTGCAATAGCCGGCTTCCCATATGGGTGGCAGGGACTCAGTACGTGGGCGATGTGCCACAGCCTCGCGGGTGCACCAGCAGACGGCCGGTCCAGAAGCAGAGCGGCGGCTCCGGTGTGGGACGTGAACAGCCCAAGTGAAGGTTTAACCCGCTGAGTCCCATTGCCAACCCAATTTAATAGTTATCCTATTTTAAAAAGTGCTAGATAAAAATCCTAATCTAAGACTACGAATCTGAGGTATACAATAAAGTGGTGGTGGGTCAACGCCAAGTCTAATTATCACACAACAATCAAGCGGCAACAGATGCTGCTTCCAGGCAGTGCCCGTGTCACTCCCGGCTTCCGGGTGGCTCTGGTCACGCCTGGGCTGCGCCCGAAGCTGCCTGCCGGGGCTGGAACAGCACTGCCGGTGCAGACGGACAGGACCTGTTCTCTCACAGCCCGAGAGGCACGATCCCACTGGTGACGACAACCTTGCCTCTGCAAGTTCTCCTGGTCTCTTAACAATCCATCCAGTGGGCAGGAGACACAAACTTAGTGTAGGACAGTTTCCTCATTCTCATTGTCATCAGAAAGCCAGAGCAAAAATAGAGCCCCATAGAAATTTCAACATTGAATTGTTTGGAAATCAATGAAAGAGCATTTACTGTACAAGTGTATCTTTGTCAATTTATTATAAACCACGCTGCAGCAGGTGACTTGTGCTCAAAAGGTCTGTTTAGACAGAGTTCTCTACCAGGGTTCTAACAGCACGCGGCACTCACACGACGGCCACTGGGTACCCCAGGAAACTCACTTCTCTTTGGTCCACAAAGAATGGCAACCGTGGGCTCCAAAGTCCTTCCTATCTACAAGTATGCACACACACGCGCGCGCACGCACACACACACACACACTCCGAGTTAGCAACGACCGCACCAGCACTGCTGACAACTCTGAGCGTCTACTTTTCTAATTGAATTATAAAAGAAAAGTAGTTTTTGTTGTTGTCATTAAACTTCAGTCTTCAATATTGAAACTGCTAAGTTACTCCATTTTTCCAATGGGAAAAAAATAGAAAAATAAAGTTGGGGTAAAAAATAAACTTGGGAAAACATAACTAAATAGTCTTAAGAAAAACCCAGTGTTAAAAAAAACATTCTAACAGTAGTTAAAACCCATGTGCAGAGCTGCCCAACACAGCATTACTGGTAATAACTACTAGGAAAAAATGAAATATTGAGCAACAGAACTGTAAGATAAACCAGGAAACAGTCAGCTGATAGAATATCACAGGGCCTTTAGGAACAACCGCGAAGAGGAGAAGCCACCGGGAAAGTGGATGACGTGAAGCCAAACGCAGAGAGAAGCCCGCTCCAGGAGACCGGCACAGCGGGACTGACGCGGCTCTCACCGCCCTGCGGACGGCGGGCAGCTTCCCCTCGCCCACAGAAACAATGCAGAGCTTCTGCCGGGCTGCAGCCTTAGAAGAAAATGAAATACACCAAAAACGACAGATCCCACAAAAAACATGTCTTTGAAAAATGACTATTTCTGAGGGAGGCAAGCGACTGATCTCAGAACTGCACTCGCTTCTGGTCCAGGCCCAGCCAGAACCACCTGTGGCCTGACCCCACCACCGATTTTACCACCTAGGCCCTAATCTGTCCATCTGACGGCTTTTGTGTAATCGACGTTTCTACATTTGAGGACAGAACAATTCAGACGCACAATCATCCACGGAACAAAGCAGTTCTCACGCAGCAATCAAGCTCTACGTTTCAAGTGATCAAACGGTGAGCAAGGACCCTGTGTGACGCTGTGATGACCCCTGGGTGGAGTCCACTGTCAGTGCCTCCGCACAGGAGATCTACTGCAACAAAGACTTCCAACCAAAGAAGAACACACTCTGTTTTCTATTTCACTGTTAAACAGCTGGGGCAGAAGACCGGATTTTCTAGAACTGCAACAGAACAGGATTAGAAAGGCTTCCCGCCAGGCCTGGAAAGGACGGGCCTGGGGCCTTCCTGCTGGCTTTATGATGACAATGATAACCTACCTCGCAATTCAGCGCTCTGAAGAAAACATTCAATCAAGACTAAATCACACAAGTATCTGCTATTTTCAAACAATTGCTCAGTAACAAAATTCTAAAATAAGAAATCACTCATTACCTTACATTGTTTATCAAACGTGAGTAGACATGAATAACGCACGCTACAACTGAGCAGTCTAAACACTGCACGCTGCTACGCAACAGCCAGAGAGCACGACACGCGACAGCAGGACGGCGCTTCACTTTCTGCAGGCCAAGTATCTCTCAGTGACGTTCTCCCAGTTGATCACGTTCCAGATAGCTTTCAGATAATCAGGTCTGACGTTTTTGTATTGCAGGTAGTAAGCGTGTTCCCACACATCAATCCCCAGCAGTGGAATAAGGCCTATCAGAAAGAAAACAAAGCCATAAATTCCACTCTGACACCCTGCATCTTCTCTAGTTAATATATATCATCCTATTCACACAAAGTTATTCTCCGAAACAATCATATCCATTCTGTTTCTTACACAACAGGAAATCTGCCTAAGAATGACTATTCCAATGTAGAAGATTTTTTTTTTAACTTTTATTTAATGAATATAAATTTCCAAAGTACGGCTTATGGATTACAATGGCTTCCCCCCATAGCATCCCTCCCATCCGCAACCCTCCCCTTTCCCACTCCCTCTCCCCTTCCATTCACATCAAGATTCATTTTCGATTCTCTTTATCTACAGAAGATCAGTTTAGCATACATTAAGTAAAGATTTCAACAGTTTGCTCCCACACAGAAACATAAAGTGAAAAATGATAGATGATTTTTTAAATGATGATGAAATCAGATCAGACCTATTGTCATGTTTAATCCCAGCAAGTGTCAAGTTGGGAATTGATAATTTCTTTTTTTTTTTTTTTTTACAGAAGATCAGTTTAGTATACATTAAGTAAAGATTTCAACAGTTTGCACCCCCATAGAAACACAAAGTGAAATATACTGTTTGAGTACTCGTTATAGCATTAAATCTCAATGTACAGCACACTAAGGACAAAGATCCTACATGAGGAGTAAGTGCACAGTGACTCCTGTTGTTGACTTTACCAACTGACACTCCTGTTTATGGCATCAGTAATCTCCCTATGCTCCAGTCATGAGATTCCAAGGCTATGGAAGCCTTTTGAGTTCTCCGACTCTTATCTTGTTTAGACAAGGTCATAGTCAAAGTGGAGGTTCTCTCCTCCCTTCAGAGAAAGGTACCTCCTTGTAGGTACCCGATGTAGAAGATTTTAAACTTTACTCTTCGGAAGGAAACATGACAAGCAGTAAACATGATGAACACAGATTTGCAAAACCAAATGCCAATGCAGCCATCCCAGGGCCGACTGCCAGCCTCCCCCAGGGGTCTCCGGAGCCACGTGAGGGGTGCGCTGTGGGGCAGCCGAGGCCCTCCGAGCAGTCGTTCCCACTTGTAGGGTTTACAAGAAACCCACTCTGCTCCCGAAGGCGAATCTTAGTCTCAGGGCAACACAGCAGTTATGACATACTAACAGATTAAGTTAACAGGGAAAACCGAAAAGAATCAGAAATCAAATAGTGTAAATGAAGAACTTCATTTGGCCGGCACCGCGGCTCAGTAAGCTAATCCTCCACCTAGCGGCGCCGGCACACCGGGTTCTAGTCCTGGTTGGGGCACCGGATTCTGCCCCGGTTGCCCCTCTTCCAGGCCAGCTCTCTGCTGTGGCCCGGGAGTACACTGGAGGATGGCCCAAGTGCTTGGGCCCTGCACCCCATGGGAGACCAGAAGTACCTGGCTCCTGCCTTTGGATCAGCACGCCGGCCGCACCGGCCATTGGAGGGTGAACCAACGGCAAAGGAAGACCTTTCTCTCTGTCTCTCTCTGTCCACTCTGCCTGTCAAAAAAAAAAAAAAAAAAAAAAAAAAAAAAAAAAAAAAAGAAGAACTTCATTCTATCTAAAAAAGGTCCACATAGGCGGGCTCTGTGGCGTAGTGGGCTAAGCCTCTGCCTGCAGCACCGGCATCCCAGATGAGTGCCAGCTCGTGTCCTGGCTGCTCCTCTTCCATCCAGCTCTCTGCTGTGGCCTGGGAAAGCAGTGGAAGGTGGCCCAAGTGCTTGGGCCCCTGCGCCCCCGTGGGAGACCCAGAAGAAGCTCCTGGCTTCGGATCAGCTCAGCTCTGGCCATTGTGGTCATTTGGGGAGTGAACCAGCAGAAAATGGAGGACCTCTCTCTGTAACTCTTTCAAATAAATAAAATACTTCCCAAAAAAGAAAAAAAAAAGCTTCATTCTACAGAGAATTAGTATCAGCTTAGGCAGCTGTAGGTAGTAACAGTTACAGCTGTGATTAGAGGAGCAGCAGGAGCCAGCACAAAGCTGAGCCTGGCCTCAGACTGCACCCGCTTTGCTGAGTGCTTGCGGGTAGCTGGGACTAGGACCCAGTATGTGAAGGGGTTTGGCTCCG